TGCACATTTGCACGCCTTTGTTTTCATCTACAATGAGCATGTGACTCATAAAAACTTCAACATTGTGTTTTCATAGTGTTTGTTTAGCCTCTGATTAGGTTCACCGCAGAGTATGAAGGCAAGACTCGCAAGTCAATTAGGCAAGAATGGTGCTCCATTTCAAAGGTAGTGACCTATTAGTAACAGATGGAAAATGATCATTAGCTCTTCTGCTTTTTCTTAAATAACCATGAGACTTTATGAGGCATGGCAGCTGACAAAAAATAAACAAATAAATAAAAGAGTTTTATGATTAGCAAAAGTTAAACCGGCCTAGGGCATAAGCAGTTCCTCCTTAGTACTAATTGTAGGATATCAGGTTTAGTAAGGACAGACCTCTCAAAGACAGAAACATGAGGTAAAAGGATTGCCTTTCCTGTAAATGTACGGCAGTAAAACATAATGTTATGTTCATTGCATGATGCTTATATAATTTCATATCTAATGATTAAAATAGATGCTAGATGGTAGCAGGACAGCCCCTAAAAGCAAAGTGTCCTAAGCAATTATAAAAAATGTGCAGAAGAATTTTCTTTACTAAATTAATATGTTAAAATGCATGCTGCTCAAATTTACAGTGTTTAATTCACTGTTAATATGCGATTTAGCATGTATTTATTTTCTACTTTTTAAGCCTTGTAAACATTTACAACTTGAAAGAGTTGCAGGCCTCAGCCGCTATAGGGTCTAAACATTATGATGTGGTATTTCCATTCATTTTATTTTTAATGGAAATACATCCCTTTAGTCTTAAAAATGTTCTTAATTGAATTTGAATTTAATAATTTAGAAATAGAAAGATTGTATGGTGCAATCAATACACTAAATGAGTGAAAAATGTTTTACATTTATTTGATACTATAGCCCTAAAGTTATAAAATAAAAAAATGTCATAGATTTGATGTGAAAAGTATCAAAAAATTATAAATACTTTCACATAGCATTAAAAATAATCAAAATAATTGTGTTCTGCAGCTTCACAAGGGGTGATAATTCAATGCGTTAACTAATACGTACAGCTAAGCCTGAGAATGTTCCATTTCCCATCACACACTCAACTCAACTGAGCTAAAAGTTGTAACAGGAGCATGTTGATGAACGCCATCCAGGACAGGACAAGCTGAAATATTTTAGCATTTTTACCGATCGCCTCTAAATCACTTATATCATCGTTATGATATGTGTTTCTTTAAAGCAGTGGCTCTAGAAAAACAAGTCATATTATGATAACAAGAAAGAGTGAGGCCTTGTTTTAATTAAAGTATAAACGTATTAAATCCATGCAAATCCATGCATGTATCCATCCATGTATCTTATTGGGAATTTGTATGGGAAAAAAACTACAGCATAATGAAAAGCATTATTTTTTCTTCACAAAATTGTTTACTGATAAATTGTTGAAAAGTGTAAAGGACATTTGTGTTCAGCCTCCTACAACAATCAGTGTTAATGTATTTTTTATTGTATTTTTAATCTCCTGTGGTTCTGTGAAGGCCTCAGAAGTTCCTTAAAAAAGTTTAAAGGTTGGATTTTACAATAAAGCTTTGAACATTTCATAGCACTATATTCAGTCCATCATCTAAGAAAAAAAGATCCTATCAGTCATGTAACAAGACAGGCAAAGAGATGATTAATCAGAGCCATGGTAGCTCTGGAGGAGCAGTTTTTTAAAAAAAAAATACTGGAATAAATTAATTTGCTGGCTTTTTGACATCTCAGAAGGGCACAAAGCAAACTTGCAAATAGGCTGAACTCGATGTCAGCAGTGCTGTACAGAAAGACATGGTGGTGGCATTATCATGCTATGGAAAAGCTGTTTTTCAGCACATATTTGTCAGTGGCGATAACTTTGGATATGCGTAAATAAAGGCTCATCCTGAAAGAAAAGTTACTGTTTCTATATTTCCACCTCTTAAATACCCCACTTCACTGTGGTCTAATGCTTAAAATGCATTTTTTTATTAACTTTTTTTTTTTTTTTTGCATAACACTGTCAGTCAAAAGTACAGGTCAACGAAATAAAATCTGCATTTAAGCCATCCCCTTGGGAAGCAGTGGGTTGCCGTTGTGCAGCAAGGCCTTGCTCAGGAATGTGGCAGTCCGTGGGAATGTGTGGGACTTGAACTCAGAACCTGTGGAATCCACGCGCAATGGGCCGCCACTCCAATCATTTTTTTCACCAGGTGATGCAAAAAGGGTTCAAAAAGCATTCTGCTAACGCCTGCAACCTTCCCTTCTCTCCACACTGTGTATGTATAAACGCTGACCCGACGGCAGCTTTTCTCAAGTGCTTCCCACTGAAAAAGAAAAAAAAAGCCCATCAGCACCTGAAATAACTGGAGGCGCACTGCGCACCGCCACATCCTCTTCCCTGGATTGTTTTGACTGCTGGAAGGAGGGCAAACGTTAAATGTCATTTTTCTAATTTTAGCCCGGAAAAGTGTCACTCGAAAACAGCATGATATCTGGTCAGTCAGGGTCATTGGCGCTTCCGCCCCCCGCTTAAGTTGGGACTAAATGAGCGCGCGGAGCGCCTTCAGAAGCCATTGTTTGCAACACATGCCAGAGAAACATGCCATCGGAGTTTGGAGATGGAGGAAGCATCCGTCTGACCTCGTTTTAAAAAGGTAAAACAACCACCTTTTTAAAATGAGGATCAGTTAGTCTAACAGACTATATAAAACCCCCATTATAAAATCTCCCTGCAGGACCTGAGCCCCGGCGTAAATCCTGAGGCGGACCTTTGCGGATGAAGTATCGCCTCTGAAGTTAATTGTGTTTTGCGCGTAGGTGGGGGAATAGATTTCCTCTGTTTATTATGAGCATAAGGACGGATTTGCGTCACCGTGCAACTTGCAGGTTGAGATAAAGTTGCACAAATATTGAACAAGGGAAGTTCTAACAGTCATTATAAAGTTTCCCTCTTCTTCGTCTCCGGAAGAAATAAGGATTTCTGCTGTGTCTTAAAATACTAAAACAGCTTCTATTTTAGGGGCATATCTAGCAGGCGCATCCGCTCATTTAGCGCCAATCAGAGCCCATCAAAAACAGGATGAGAGGGAGCTAATAGAGACTCTCCTGAGCCAGAATGCGCCGTTAATCTTTTATTACCTGGCCTAATTATAGAGACTTCCAAACTTATTTTTAATAGCCCTTAAACTGTTTTACATGTTGTTATATTATATTATGTTATGATGTTTCAGTGTGATTTTTTTTGTAAATCATCCTCAACAAATCATTTAATCAACATTAAATTAACTTCATTTATGCCATTCTATTCTCTGACTTTATTTGTTTGTTGTCCTGCTTGAAACTAAACTTTCAAGCAGGATCTTTGTGCAGCGTTTAAAATGGTTTTCTTTCAGCCTTGCCATTTACCTTATCTTCAGATTATTTCTGATTAGCTTCCCTGTCAGTAGTGAAGGAATAAAAAATAAAAATAAAAAACTTTCCATGCACAATGCTTTCCACCAGTTCCACCATGGCGATGACATAAACTAATCGGTCACCTTTTAACATCAATTGTTTCCTTTTTGCAAATGTCAGATTTATGAAGTGCATGAGCAAAAGTTGCCCTAGATCTCTCCTCATATGTCCAATGATCCTCTTGTTAACCCAGCCTCTTAGTGTGTCCTGATGCCTTGTTTTGAACAGCTTTGCAAGACCTTGTTTTATCACCTCTGCTTTTAAATGTCTATATTTCTAACCTTTCTGTGTCCCTTGGTCTAATGCCATTTTGTCCAAGGCCTACAAACAGAAGTTATATTTATATTAATATATATTTATATATATAGAAAATATGTCGTTTCCATAGTTGCACTGACTGATTTTTTTGGCGTGTGAAGGGGGAGAGGGGGAAAGTGGATGATTACAATTTTCTGTTCAAATAACATTTCTCAACAATAGAAATCAATTTTCTGCTTTTTTTTTTTTGTTGGCAGAAGTTTTGAAGAGGAAGTATTGCAATTTTTATTACTGCATGTTTTTGTTGGCAAGTAAATGTTTCTCTCTAAAGCTGGACTTCATTTGAGGCTTTAAGAGTCTTCTTCACATCATGCTCTATTTTAAGTTTTCCGCCGCACTGATTAAAAAAATAAAAAAAGTTGAGGTCTGTGGTTGTAGATAAGAAAAAATAAATGTGGAAAAAATGTGCATGAAATATAAATATCTTTTAAAAAGCGGAATGTCATGTCGTGTTTTCAAGTATTTTGAGTTTGTAAAACTGACTCCCCTCTTTTAGACAAAGAATCCCAATTAACGCGAACCTTCGCTTGTAATGAGCGCGTTATATGAGTTAGGAGGGGGGCTCTCTTTAAGTGATCAATCCATCAACGGTATCAAAATTGCTTATGTGTGTGTGTTTGTGTGTGTAAGAGAGAAAGGGAGAGCGAGAGATAGTCTTAATTCGCTGCATGATGAGAGTAAAGCAATGCACCCATTGGCTGACAGAGCAACCAATCGGTGTCAGTGGAGGAACTTCAGAGTGGAACTTTGGGGCTAGAGTTTCAGACTTGCGAGAGTTTTTTTGGCACAACAAGGACGCGCAACTGTGCTCCTGAAGCCTTATCCGGTCGTGTTTATCTTTTTAAATGATTGTCTTTTCATAACAGAACCAGAGAAATAGAACGAGACTTTCTAACCTCCGGGATGTATACCACCGGACTCAACCCGTTTTACGCATCCAATTTCAGCCTGTGGTCTGCTTACTGCGCCGGAGGCTTCGCCGTGGATTCCATGAAGAAGCCTTCGTTCTGCATCGCAGACATTTTGCAAGCAGGAGATGCAGAGAACATCCCTGGATCGTCTGCCCTGATGGTGCACATGGGGCACCACCATCACCACCATCAGCAGCAGCAGCAGCGCGCACAGCAAGCGCACTCCGGCGGCTCTCCGCTGCGCCCTGCTCCCGTCGCACCGGACCCAGCGGTGTTCGGATCCAGACTCAGCCCGGGGTCTCCGTACCATAGACACGGACTCCAGCTCACGGCCGTCTCTAGGACTTCTTTCAACTCCCAGCAAGCACCGCCGCCTTCAAGTAAAGACCTCAAATTTGGAATCGATCGTATTTTATCAACAGACTTTGATCCAAAATGCAAGGAAAAGTCTTCTCTAAGAGGTGAGCAGCAGCTTTATTGTAATACAATATTTGCAGAGAAGCAATCAGTCACATTTTAATTTGATTATGTCCTAGAAATATTTAGTTATAAACTCACCAAGTGCAGAATAGAGAGTTTAGAAACTGAAAGCAGCAGATCGGAAACAATTCAATGTTCTGCACTCTAGAGGGCAAGGTAGCAGCACAAATTGCGGAGCCCCCCTTTAAGAGGTCACAGGTCACGACAACCAGCTAAAATCCATTATTCTGCCCAGACCTATTTGGTTACTTTAAAAAAAAAAATCTCCCTAAACGTTCTCTCCGTCTTTTCCCGGTGTTCAAACTAACTGAAGCCCATCATCTCTCATTTTGTAACAGATCTCACCTCCATCGTTAGCTCCAACCGTCAGTCAGGCCTTCACCTCCCTATTCAGCCTCCAGCCAGCCCCTACTTCTCCTCCATAGACCCCGGGATGAGCGACGCGTCCTCCATGATGGGCTCACTAGGCAGCGGCAGCAGCAGACACTCAGGCCAGCATCAGTTTCAGGACACCTTCCCAGGTAGAGACCACCTGTAGGAGAGTAGAACACCTCAGGAAATCTTTTTTTTTTTCCTCATGTGTTTTCAGGTTTGTGATCCTCTGATAGCGCTTTAACTCCATATCTTCCATGCTTGTCTCTTCTTCAGGTCCCTATGCAGTCCTCACCAAAGACACAATGCCTCAAACGTACAAGAGGAAAAGGTCATGGTCAAGGGCAGTTTTCTCAAACCTGCAGAGGAAAGGCCTGGAAAAGAGATTTGAAATACAAAAGTATGTCACCAAGCCTGACAGAAAACAGCTGGCAGCTATGCTGGGGCTCACAGATGCTCAGGTAAGACTCAAGTTAAAATGCATAATAGGAACTAAGATTTGTTTTGGCATAAATTCGTCAAATATAGATGACTGAGATTGAATCTTTCTTTTAGAGATAATTCTTCATTAGGAGAAAAGTGGCACTAATTAGTCAAGCAGAATTACACTTCATCAGCTGTGGTTGGGAATTATATGGAATGCTAAAAATCTGGAGGTCTTTTTTTGCCTATATTTACATCAAAATTTATAACTACCGCCATGTTTGCGCTACAGTCATATCAATCAAAAGTATTCACTATGAAGCAGTTTTTGAATTGATAAATAATTGGTCCCACACTTTAGCACATAAATATGGTCCAAATTGGGATTCCTTATTTTGTAGATTTTTTCAGTTATACCTCCATTTAAGAATTTTATATAGTTGGTCCATCCCAATATAATAAAACTCATAAAAACACACACACACTGAAAGTAACAATAGGTAGGTAATTACACATACATGCACACACTTATAATAATAATGATAATATATATATATATATA